CTTGCCCTCTCACCTTCAGCGACCACCTGCTGTACCCCTTGTTCATTTGGGATACAAAGAGGTCACATAACTGAGTACTCCACTGTGTAAATATCTCACGACTGTGTCGTGAACTTCCCACTTGTGGTCTATCATGAAGCTTCTGTTCCATTTGTCTGCCAGGATGATGTTGTTAAGGCAATGCACATTCCTGGTATTGTGATGTGGTTCCTGATGCACTAGTTCCAAAGTCTGACCACTTCCTGGCAGAGGGGATGAGTTTTTTTTCTTTTTCTCTCTTGCTGTGTGTCTGTGTCTGTGTGTGGTTTATATAGCCCATTGCAGTGATATTGTCCAATATTATCTGTATATGGAGCAAGCATATAAGCAGAAGGAAGGCTTGCACACAATGGACCTCTCTCAGTTCCAGTAAGTTTATATGCAGCCTGGCCTCTAATGGACTCCAAGTGCCATGAGCAGTGTGGTTGTCCAGATGAGCACCCCATCCCAGAAGAGAGGTGTCTGTCATAATGGTGGCCCTGGGGATGGGAGGGCTGAAGGGAACTCCCACCATGAACTTTTCTGGATTCAACCACCAAGTTAAGGAAGTAACAACTCTGGCAGGAGCAACCTGGAGTTGATTTGGTCCTTGCTTGGTCGATAGATCAAGTGAAGCCAAGTCAGCACCACAAGTGGAGTCTAGAGAAAGGAGTCACGTAGGTGCATGTGGCCTAACTGTGAGAGGTACTTGTGCACTGTGGCTTGTGATCTGTGGGTGATGTGTGAAATCAGGTTGCCCATTACATGAAACCTTTCTGAGGGAAGGAACACTCTCACAGAAACTGAATCCAACCTTGCCCCTATAAAGTTTATTGACTTTGTGGGTAACAAAACAGACTTTTCTTCATTTATCCACGACTAGGGCTGTTAAAAGTTGTATCAGAAACCCTGTCACCGACCTCACCTCCTGACAAGATCAGCCTACCAGGAGCCAATTGTCCACATATGGGAACACCGTATAGCCCCGGCATTTCATCTGGGCTGCTACCAGAGAAAACCTTTGTAAATAAATACTCTGGGTGCCGTAGCCAGCCAAAGGGGAGGACTCAAAACTCAAAGTGTTCCTGGCCTACCACAAAACAAAGGAACTTCCTGTGTGATGGGTGAACGTCCACATGGAAATATGCACCCTTTATGTCAAGAGCCACAAACCACATCACTTTCTGAAGGGAGGATATTATAGATGCCAGCATAATCATCCAGAATTTCAACTTTCAAATAAGAAGGTTGAGTTGCTGAAAGTGTGGGATGGGTCTTTACCCTCCATCTTTTTGGAGGATTAGGAAATATGGATAGAAGAACCCCCTCCAATGGCAATGAAGTGGGAAGCACTCTATTGCCCCTCAGTGTAAAAGGGATTCTGCTTCCCACTGAAAAATTACCTCATGAGAGAGGTCCCCAAAGGGGGACTGGGCAGCGGGTTTCTGAGATGGGAAGGAGAGAAATACTACAGAGTGTCCTTGGTGGATAATCTCCAAAACAGAGCTGTCCATAGTGATCTTGTTCCAGTTCTGGGCAAAGAGTGTAAGACAGCCCCCAAAGATGACAGGGGGATTGGCATAAGTGACAGTACATGGGTCTCGACCAATATGTCAAAAGTGGCTCTTGGCTGGTGATTGAGAGAGAGAGAGCACGCGTAGAGGCTGGGCAGTACAGGGGGCCAAGAAGCGAGGCCTCTGAATCTTTTTGCATTTGCACAAAGGCTCAGCTGATAAATTGCATGAGGAGGAGGTGGCCTTGGTCTATAGGATTGCCTCTGGTGTTTCCTTCTGGAGGCCGGTGTATAAATCCTAGGGGAATACAGAGACAAACTCAAGTCTTCTAGGAAGTGCAGGGACTTGTCTGTTTTATCATTGAAGAGATCAACTCATCAAAGGGGAGAAGGTCCTGCATGGTGTTTTGGACTTCCCTTGGAAACCCTGACAATTGCAGCCAGGAATCTTTCCTTATGACTAGACCAGTGGTCACTCTTCTGGAATCCACATCTGCTGCATCCACTGCTGCCTGGAGGACTACTTTTGTCACTAGCTTCCCCTCATTTAAGAGAGTCTTGAAATTGGGCTGTCTTCTGTGGGAAGCTTGTCTGTGAAGACTGCAAGCCTGGAATAGGTATTAAAATTGCATTTTATTAACAATGTGTAGTAGTTAGCAACATGAAATTGCAGGCCTGTAGAAAAGACCTTCCTCCCCAGGAGCTTCAGTCTCTTAGAACCTTTATCTGCCAGGGTGGTCTTTTGATAATATGACCTAGCCCTTACGAGAGCTGCCTGAACCACCAGCGAGTTAGGGGCAGGATGAGAACATAATAATTTGGCTCCTTTGCCAGGAACAAAGTATTGCCTCTCAGCTCTTTTTGATGAGGGGCACAGGCTGATGGAGTGTGCCATACCACTCCAGTTGGTCCCAGTATGGTTTCATTGATGGGCAGGGCCACCTTATTTGGTCCCTGAGGCTTCAATATGTCCAGGAGTTGGTGATGAGAGTCCTGGACCTCCTCTAATAGGATCTGTAGGTCACGGGGAACTCTTTGTGGCAGCTCCTGGTACTGGAGGCGGTCATCCAGCAGAGAAGGAGTGACCACCTTGTCCAGGGATGGTGAAGAGGCACCCTTCGGTACCTGTGGATATGGTTCAACCTCCTCATTCACTGACTAGTGAGAGGGAGAGGAGTGGTACGACTCTTCAGAGGGGTCCAAACACCTGTCATAAGGATCCCACAGACCCACAATAAGGCCAGAAAGAGGGATCTATAGGTTGTGGGGACCCCCAAAGACACTGGTACCAGCTGTCCCTGGGGGTGGGGGGGTTTGAAGGTCATACCAAGTGAAATGGCAAGCATAACTCCTCAATTGTCTATCGGAGCTTAACAGCATCCACGGAGATACCAGTTCAGCCATCTCCTTGGATTCATCCGAGTGAGAGAACTACTCAATCGGTGCAGTGGTGCTGTCAGTACCAGGGCACTCCAGCCAAATGATTGGAAGTGAGACGGTTCCTTGGACGGTGATGTTGACTCCTCCAGCAGAGTCAGGTCATCCCCATCAGGAGGGCCAGGTCAGAAAGAAATAGAAACTATGGATAAGGGAGGAATACATCCTCTGTTGCTGTACAAGTCTCGGGACACCTTGGTGTCCAAGGGATTCCCACAGTTAAATCTGACAGATCCAGTACATCTGCAGCAACTAAAGTCTTTAGATAGACGAGGTGGTACTGACTATCGGTCCGGACCAGCACTCATAGATGGAACCAGTGAAAGTCTATCCTTAGGCTTCGGTACCAAAATGACCAATGGAATTGGAAGGTATTTCTTTTTATGTATCTTGCCCTCTGATCTGGGGGTCTCCATCAGAGCCAGTTCCTTAGGTTCCATATGCAACATCTCACCCAACCTGGACAGGCTCAGGGAGGAAGCATGTTTCTTATGGCCATTCCTCAATGGGGATCTATCCCTGTGTCCATGAGAGAGCACTCTACTCTCATGTGGAGTCCCTGAAGAAGAATCCTTGGGCTTAGATGTTTAGGACTGTGCTCCAAGGAATGTGCTTGGAAAGGCATCGCTGGTCAGTTAAGGCTGATGTATGTGGGGGGTGGTTTCCTTGGCTCAGATCGGAGAGGGGTCTCATAGCCTTCATCAGGTGCTTCCATAGATGAAGCTCCCAGGTTGCTTGAGTTCTGGGTGGGAAGGAGCAACAGATACTGCACTTTGCAGAAATATGCACCTCAGCCAGACTATACAGGCAGTGCTGATGTTCGTTACTGATGGAGAAGGGTCGAAGGCAGGAAACTCAATTCTTGAACGGACTCTGGGCATAATCCCAGAGTCGGGGAGAGGTTCCCCAACTGGAGGGGAAAAAAAACACAACACTCTATACTATAAACTTTAACTATCACCTACAAATCTAAGAATATAACTATCTAGCAACAAATGTTTTGTTTATAGATTATAGAACCAAGTGAAGGAAGACAATTCCAACTGAGGCCATCGCTGCAGTAAGAAGAAACTGGAGAGGTGTCAACCTGCACCGCTTCTTATACCCTCGATCAGAAGCACGAGGGTAGCTACTACGCATGTGAGGGCCAACAGACATTATTCTGAAAAATTTCCAGACTCTAGCGCATGGCGCACATGCGTACCCACATGTGGAATCCGCATAGGGTCTATCACTCGAAGAACCTAGTCCCTCCCTGAGACCCCAATCTGCTGAGACAGCACACCACAGGAAGTTCCTCCTCAAACGATCTGACTGACAGTGGTCTTAATGATCTCTGATTGGGCCCCTGAACCTATATAAAGCCACAGTGTGTACCAGGAAGTGTCCAGGAAATGATGTGGATCCTTACCTAGCTGCCATGATTGCCTGCTTCTCTGTTCCTGAATTCCTGGGACTAACCTGGCTCTGATTTGGATTCTGACTCCTGATCAACCCCCTGGAACCGCAAAACAGATCCTGATACCTGGAACTAAGCCTCAGCCCAATTCCTGCCTGTCTGGTTCTGATCCTCGGCTTGACTCTTGACCCTCATACTGGCTCTGACCCCTGGATTCAGCTCTGAGATCCCAAACTCCTGCCACCGGTCCCACTTACCTTCATCCAGGATCCTGACAATCATTTTAAGCACTCATGTCTTTACATTTTAACAAATTATATAAATCAGGAGCCTACTGGACCTGTAAAATTACTGGAATTCTAGGCCCCAATCCTTCAAACTGCACAGTGATCCTTGCACACACAAGTATTTCACTTGCAGGATTGGAACCTTAGTTAGCAACATCTAAGTTTTAGTCCGTTTTTTAACATTGTTCCTTTATGCAAAACTGGACAGGATTTTGGTTTCAGTCAATCATCAACACTTCTTGCTTCATTTATGGATACTAGTTCTTAATAAAAGTATATTGTACATTCTGAATTATTACTTATCTAGCATCAGGAAATCTATACTTGTCTAGCAAAAGGTACTTACCAGTTGTGGAAAACAGATTTTCCCCTTCAGCTCTCTAGCCCCCCCTATAACAAAACAAAAACAAGAAAATCATCAGATAACATTTAATTTGAGTTTGGAACAAAAAGAATTTGGGGGGGGGGGGGAGTAAATCTGCAAATTATTTCTTTTTTTAAAAGATGTAGTAGACAAAATATGAAATTGACCTGAGAAGGGAGAATAAAAAAAGTGTTTGATATAGCAAGGGAAGAACTGAGAGTGCTTAGAATTCTATTATTTCCCAGTTACTGTAAACCAGATTGAAGTGCAAGCAGTGACGTGAGGGTCTTCTTTTGCCAATACTGGAATGGAAATTTTAAACAAAGAAGCACTTTATCTAAAGGAAAAAAATCAACTGACCATCACTTTTTATTGCATGTCTATGTAACAAAACAAACTATAGCAAAGCTTGGGCCAAACTGTGTTTAAGACCTTACCCCATCCACAGCTTGATTATAATAGCTGCACTCCAAGATATTTACTATGATGGTTACAAGTGCATTCTCATTTGTATTTAAGCTCAGCCAACTTTGTCACAGACTAAAAATCCAAACACACATTTTACAACTTTACTAGAAAAATCTGGGTGTTAATACAAACCTTATCTTAGGCGCTGGCCCTAAAATGTGATCAATGATATCCCACTGCAGAGCTCAGGCTCTGGGTCTCTATCCTACAACTAGATGCATTAGTGCAGACTCGTGATCATGTACACTCCCATCAAAGTCAATGGGATCCAATGCAAATGCAGGAGACAGACTGCACTTGCTAATCTATTTACAGACCTGGGGAAGAATCTGTACAGGAAATTTAATGCCTACTGTTAAGTAGTGAATATGCATATCCACTTAGTGTCAGAATTTTTAGAGTGTGTGTTTAGAACTAATTTTTTCCTTAGTATGGCACTTGGGTCAATTTTTTAAGTTCAGAGGAAAGTTATAACAATTTCTAAATGTTGATGAGGTGGAGTTTTTTTGAGCAGCTGATTTCTGCGTAAGGGTACACAAAGCAACCTATACATCAGTGTTTTGGATGTAAGCAGTGCAAGCTTACAGCTATTTAGAGATCAGCCTTAATTCACACATCATAGTGGTTTCTCAATCATTCAAACCCCACACTTGATTGCATTTTCGCCCCTTCATAGGCTCTAAAGCCCACACGATGAGGTCATTTAATCACCACAAAACACAATATGCCTCCTTTCAGCAACAACATACTAAGGTTGTGTCTATATCTGAGTGCTATAAAAGGCTGTGGCTCTGGAAAGCTAAGCAAAGAAGCTTTTCACAACACATCTACAACTACAACCTTAGAGTGAGCAAGTCTCAATTTTCATTAAGAAAAAAAAATCAACATTCATTTGTAGCAAGTTCATGAAAACACATTAATTTTATTTTTCTGTATTTTAAAGAAGGAATCACGCATTTTTAGAGACAGAGCATGACCGAGTGCTGTGATTGTCCTCCATACTGGGATCCCAATTCCATCAAGTCAAAACCCCACCCCCTTCCAGTCTAGTAATATGGAAAGGGCAGAATAGTTTCAACCCAGGCACTTTTCTGAAGGTTATAATCCTGAGAACCCATGGACTCAAAGGACTGTGAATCACAAACTCCAGAGTTCTAATTCGGGCTCTGTGACTTGCTGTGTACCTTGGACAAGTCACTTAAATAGGACCTAAAGAGGTGGGAAAAAAGGCTTGTACTCTCTCTGCTTCTTCACGTAATATATTACATTTAAAAAGTGTTAAAAGAAGGTTAACATTTGAAAAGTCAAGCACTCGAGAGTTATGAAATGCCAGAATTAAGATTGCCTGTGCAACCTTAATTCTGCCCTTGTGTGCATATATACATTATGATGCAGTATTTAATTACATGATCACATACTATTTTTCCCACAGGAACTCTGCCTCATTCAGTGCAAAGGATGGTTGGCACTTAGGGAATGAGGCATCTGTTCAATATTTCTCTTTACCCCCATCATTTGTGCAGCCCCAGGCCTTATTTACTGAATACCAACCAAGCCCTGCAGTGAGTAAAGAATTATTAGTTTTCTCACAGATACTATGGAGATGAGCACCATAGAAAATCCTCATCTTAAAAAACATTATGATTTTTTTCTCTGCAACAACACTGTGAAGTAGGAGATTTACCACAAACAGGGAACTGAGGCACATGGACATTAAAGCCAAAATTTGCAAGAGTCTCCAATAACATTAAGTGCCCAAGTAAATGGGCTCTCAATTTAAGACATCTAGGATTTAATTTTTCAGAGTACTTAGTGTTTTTTATAGTCTTTTATATACAGATATTACCTAAATAATCCTCATAATACTCCTGTGTGGTAGGTAGATATAACTGTCCTACTTTACAAATGGGAAAAAACAAACAAAACTAAAAGGCAATGTAACTTGCTCAAGGCCACAGACTGAGTTAGTAGCAGAGCCAGGATTAGGATTTAGGACATACTGTCTCCTAATTCTAATGCATATGACCATGTAATTAAAGATTATTATAATGTATATGCACAAGATGACAGAATTAAGATTTTTATAGGCAAACTTAATTCTGGCATTTCCTAATTTTTGGGTACTGGACTTTGCAGTCTTAACATTAACGTTCTTTTTTACATAGTTGTTTAGCAAGTAATTTCCTAGAGATATGCAATTCTGTGACATGCAGCTGTAATGGTAATTTTAGACAGCTCATCTTTTGCCCTATCTAATCAGATTTTTTTTTTTATTTATTTTGGGAGTCCAAGGCACCTCTATGACTCCAGGCCTATCCCCTCCCAACTGTAGATCCTTGCTGCAAACCATGGAGGCATTAGAGTGCTTTACAAAAAATGTATACTCAAATGTCAGGCAACCTAAATACAAGGGTCACTACTGTTCCTCCTATAACAAAGACGTGAAAAGTTGAGAGTTTTGCTTTGTTTATAAAGTGAGTGGGAGAAGAAGTCTTCTGAAGTAAAACATTTATCAAGTAATATCAAAATCTTGTCTTTTCCATTTTGCTCTAGATTTCCCTTGAAGGACCCAGAAATATGAACTCCAAGCTCTCATCCCTAAACAAGCAATGTCAAGTCTCAAAATATTTGATGTTTTTCTGAAAGCCTCAGCTTCTGGAGCTATGTGTTTGTCAGAATCTCCGCTTTCATTTAAAAAAAATGCTTCATGTTTGCAAAGAAACGTTAGGGCGCACTTGAAAACGAGATCCAATAAGATCAAAAACCAAAAGGCAAATTAAACATCCAATATTTTTTTAATTTTATAATGTTTAGGCCAGTATCATGGTTTTTGGGGCCTGACTCTTGACTGTTGAGCACATGAAGTTGGCACTACTGCGAAACAGAAATCTTTAAGTTAAAGAATTTCTTCCAATTGTTTGAGTTGAACAATTGTCAATAAAAAACAAAGCTTTTAATAGTCCTAAATAGACTGTTGATTAATTGCAGTTAACTCACGTGATTAATTTTAAAAAAACTAATCACAAAAAAAAATTAATCGCGATTAATCGCTGTATTAATTGCATTGTTAAACAGAATACCAATTGAATTTAAATGTTTTTGATGTTTTTCTACATTTTCAAATATACTGATTTCAATTAGAACACAGAATACAAAGTGTACACTGTTCACTTTCTGTTATTCTTTTTGATTATCATTTTTACAGTGCAAATATTTGTAAACAAAAGAAATCATATTTTTCAATTCACCTCATACAAGTACTGTAGTGAAACCTCCATCGTGAAAATGCAACTTACAAATGTAGATTATTTTTTTTTGATTATGTAACTGCATTCAAAAACAAAACAATGCACAACTTTAGAACCTACAAGTCCACTCAGCCCTCCTTGTTCAGCCAATCGCTAAGACAAAAAACTTTGTTTACATTTACGGGAGATAATGCTGCCCACTTCTCATTTTCAATGTCACCAGAAAGCGAGAACAGGCATTCACATGGGACTTCTGTAGCCGGCGTTGCAAGGTATTTACGTGCCAGACCTGCTAAACATTCGTATGTCCCTTCATGCTTTGGCCACCATTGAAGAGGACATGCTTCCATGCTGACAACACTCGTTAAAAAAATAATGCTTTAATTCAATTTGTGATTGAACTCCTTGGGGGAAAATTGTAGGTCTACGGCTCTGTTTTACCCATTTCATGTTACAGCAGGCTCGAATGATGACCCAACACATGTTGTTCATTTTAAATACACTTTCACTGCAGATCTGACAAAATGCAAAGAAGATACAAATGTGAGTACTCAACCCAAGATTTAAGAATCTGAAATGCCTTCCAAAATCTGAGATGGACAAGGTGCGGAGCATGCTTTCAGAAGTCTTAAAAGAGCAACACTCAGATACGGAAACTACAGAACCTCAACCACCAAAAAATAAAAATTACCCTTCTGCTGGTGGCATCTGATTCAGATGATGAAAATGAACATGCATTGGTCCGCACTGCTTTAGATTGTTATCAAGCAGAACCCCTCATCAGCATGGATGCATGTCCTCTGGAATGGTGGTTGAAGCATGAAGGGACATTGAATATTTAGCACATCCGGCATGTAAATATCGTGCAGCGCTGACTACAACAGTGCCATGAGAACGCCTGTTCTCACTTTCAGGTGACATTGTGTACAAGAAGCAGGCAGAATTATCTCCCGTAAATGTAAACAAATTTGTTTGTCTGAGCGATTGGCTGAACAAGAAATTGGACCAAGTGGACTTGTAGGCTCTAAAGTTTTAATTTTTTTTATTTTTGAATGCAGTTTTTTTTTTAATATATAATTCCACATTTGTAAGTTCAACTTTCATGATAAATAAATTGCATGACAGTTCTTGTATTAAGTACATTGAAAAATACTATATCTTATTTTTACCGTGCAAATATTTATAATAAAAATAAATATAAAGTGAGCACTGTACATTTTGTATTCTGTGTTGCAACTGAAATCAATGTATTTGAAAATGTAGAAAACATCCAAAAATATTTAAATAAATGGTATTCTATTAATAACAAT